ACCTTTCTGAAGCATAGGATATCCCATAAATATATAGCGGGTGCCCTGGATACCAAATTTGTCATTGGAGCCAATGGTGGCAGTATAACAAAGGGAGCCAAATACTCGGAGGTGGTCAAGAGCTGGTGGCTTCTTGAATAGTATCTCATAAGGAGTCTTACCATGAAGAACTTTAGTTGGCATGCGATTGATCATGTATGTGGCTGTGATCACACAATCTCTCCAAAAGGAAATGGGTATGTGGGCTCGGTGTTTGAGAGCATAGGCTACTTCAAGCAGAAGGTGATGTTTTCTTTCGACAACCCCATTTTGTTGTGGTGTATATGTGCAAGAGCATTCATGCAGAATGCCAATAGATAAAAATGGAGATGAACAATTATAATTAAAGAAATCCCTAGCATTGTCGGTTTTAACTTTTTGGACAAAAGTATGAAATTCGGTGGTGACCATGGACAAATTTTTTTTAATGTGAGTAAGTGTTTGGGTTTTGGATTGCATGAGGAATGTCCATGTGCCCCTGAGAAAAGTCATCGACAATGGTGAGGAAAAATCTGAATCCATCATGATTTGGGGTATGGTAGCTAGGGACACCAACTATCAAGATGGATTAAAGCAAAAGGTTGGGTTGTAGTGAAAGTGCTATGCGGAAAGGTAATGTGGGCTTGTTTAGCTAATGGACATATAAGACACTAAGGTTAAGAGATAGTTGCACTGTGACCTAATCTTTGATGAAGAATAAAAGAATTTTTATTAATTATCGTATTACAATTGGAAATTTCATTTGGATTACAAGGAGGAAAAGTTTTAGTAGACTTAGTAGGTGCCCAGTAGTATAGACCTCTATTGACTTTACCCAAGCCTATCAGTTTTCCAGTTGAAGGGTCCTGAAATTTACATGTGCAAGGACAAAACTCTACAGTGCAACTATTATCTTCACATATTTTGGATACTGAGATGAGGTTAAAATGAAATACAGGAATACATAGCACATTTTTAAGTGATAAAGTGGTAGATAATTGGATGGTCCCTATATGAGTAGTTGGGGTGATATTCCCGTTCAGCATACGAAAGGAAGCGGAAGAGGTAGTGGAAATAGTGGTAAAAAAAATTTGGGGGACAAATTATGTAATCTTTAGCCCTTGAATCAATAATCCACATATCAGTTGTGAGTAAATTAAAACAGTAAGAGGTACCTGCGTAAGATGTGGTGGGAGTAGTTGGGACATTGTTCAACAATTGGAGCAATTTGTTATATTGTTTTGGATTGATAGTGGGTGTTGACTGATTTTCAAGAGAATCAACTTGGAAAGAAGAAGAATTGCCATTTCTATCATTGTTGTTGGAATCGAGACGACCATGTAATCTCCAACAATGGTCCTGATCATGATTTCTTCTTTTATAAGAATCACAATACAATTGGTTTTTATGGGATCTTGAATTTCCTGACCCGTTTGACCCATTTCCAAATCCATTTGATTTGTTTGACCAAGAAGTTAACTTGTTTGACCCATGGCGTGACGTGGCACGATTGGATCCATGAGATGTGTTTAAAAACGTGATGAGTTTTTGAACGTCAGATCGCGAGATTGAATTTGAGCTCTTCATCTCGCATATATAAGAGAAAGCTTTTCACTTTCATTTTGCCATAGCTGTTGTTGATCACCATTCTCTCTCAACTCTACCAGCGCCATTGAATCTAGTGGTGTTCTGTTAGATTCAACTGGTATTGGCTTCCATCTTGCACCACCAGTTGAAAACTCCAATGGAGAGAGGGTGGTGGAGACATGGCCAGTACCTATGTCCTAAAAGAAAGAAAACCATCATATAATCCGAGCGAAAAATGCGACAATCGATCTCGATCTCGCATTTTGTAGTACTGATTAAGTGTTTTCAGTGGCCCCTCAAGAGTTTCTTCAACAGTGTCTAACTCGTTCCAAACGATAGCGAGTCGATTGAAAAAAGTGGTGACTGAGTTATTCCCTTGTTTGAGTTCAATGAGGCATTACAGAGAGTGAAGGTTTTGGCGAGATCTAACTTCCATTTATCTCCTTGATGTTAACCCAGACCTCGGTGGCCAATTTTGTCGGTGGGAGCCCAATCGCGACCTCTGACAAAAGAAAATTGCTGATCCATGATCAGACCAGCATATTGCAGTGATTCCAGTGATGTTGAAGATGAGGTTGTGGCGGTGTTTGAAAAGCCCCATCAAGAAATGAATCTTTGTCTTTCGTGATGAGGGCTCGCCGGAAATTGCAAGACCAAGAGGCATAGTTGTCTGATCCGGTTGGGGTTTGTTTGATGAGGACTAATTCATGTCTATCGAAGATTGGTGAGAAAAGAACATCACCTGGTTTAGGGCAATTGTTCTCGGCAGTTGGAACAATTAGAAATGGACATGGGTAGGGATTTGGATCTGAACCCGATGTAGGAAAGGAATCCAGGTTGTAATCTAGTATTCCAAGAGAGGCTGGGTCAAGCGTTGAATGGGCTGCATGGGCTTCAATTGTATGGGTTGTAGCAGGCATAGATTGAGTGTTTGGGCTGGAGTTGTGTGGATTTTCTATGGTGATTGGGATGTTTATATTAATTGGGTCATTTGGGTTTTTTGTAGTTGTATTTGGGTTGATTTCCATGCTGGAGGGTAGTGGATTTTTTTTTTTTAAATATTGTTTGCAGGAAGAAAGAGAAAGAAGCTAAGTTGATAGGCAAGTAGAAGCTTTTAGCTAAGCTCTAATACCATGTAAGGAATTGAGATAGATACAAAGAGAAGGATAAAGAGTAGCAGTTCAAGATAATGACACTACCAGAGTATGCCCAAGAGAAAAGAAAAGATAAGAATCTTGTATATTCAGTATATTGTAAGGCTGTACAATTGGCTAATTTATACAATTTTGTAAATGTAAAGAAGGAAAATAATAAATACAAAAATCCTTGTAATTGTTCAATCAATCACATGAATTAAGTTGATTGATTGAAACTTTAATCACTCATTAATCTCAGCCAGCAAGATCAAGGGAAATCAGTAATAAAGGCATTCCATATTTCATCAATTTGGATTGGATGAAGAAAGATGTTCTTATTTGATATTTGCATTTGTTCATTTGGATTAAAATTTCAAAATTTAATTAAAATACACTTGGTGTAAAACATTTTATGTTTGATGTATGTAAAACATTTTATGTTTGATTAAAATTTGAGGAAGTTTGGAAGAAATATTGCAATCTTTGTTTGGAAGAAATATTGCAAGTTTAATTAACATTTTATGTTTAATTAAAATTAGAGGAAGTTTGAAAGACTAATTTTATGTTTTATTAAAAGGTTATGTTGGAAATTTCAGTTTACAGTTGGGTACACAGTAACCGAACTAAAATTTCGGGTACTTACATATTCTAGTATTTCATAAATTGGTTTACTATTGTTAAGCTACCCAAATATTCGGTTTGGGTAGAGAAATGACACATTCGGGTCGGGTACCTGGTTTTACCCACCCCTAGTTATTTTTACCCATTTAAATATTTATTTGTTGTTATGAATCTAGCTTCGTTTGTTTCATTATTTTCACCCTATCCTATCCTAACGTATTATCGTATCCAATCATATCAAAATATATATTTGTTTTAATATTCATAATTCAATTCAAAATCCAATCATATTTTATTCAACTCAAAACATTTAACAATTACTTTTCTCAATATCCTATCCTAACGTATTATCGTATCCAATCATATCAAAATAAATATTTGTTTTAATATTCATAATTCAATTCAAAATCCAATCATATTTTATTCAACTCAAAACATTTAACGATTACTTTTCTTAATAAAAGTTTATAAATTAACATTAACAAAAACACCCATATCCACCCAATTATAGCTGGCAGCCAACCACTACCTAGTAGTGGTGGCTAGTTGCTGGCAATAGTTGCGTGGGTGAGTGAGAGTGTTTTTATCAATTTATAAACTTTTATTGTAGAGGGTGTTTAGTTTAAATTAACAATTCTAAGGGGCTAAAAATAATCTAGGGTGCGTTTGACACATTATTTCTACCCATATTCTCAATCTTATTCCCCAAATATTGTTTGGCACAGTATTTGAGAAATAGTAGTATATTTTTTTATTACTTTTAGACCCCTTAAGTTTATTAATTTCATTAAATACCCCCAGAAAAAAGTTTAAAAATTAACAAAAATACCCCTACCCACCCATACTTGCCAGTTTCCGATAACCACCATCAGTGGTAGCCGGAATCTGTCATAATGGCCTACACCATGACTGGAACTGGTCGGTAATTCATCGATCTGACCATCAGCAACAGTCATGTTGGACTTTTACGGTTGTCGACGGCCAGATCTGGTCGTAGATTTGGCATTTTCCGACCATATCTGTGGTGGATCTGGCCGGAAAATGCCATATCAACGCCCTACCCACCAAATCTGACTGGTCTATGTCGTAACGTAATTTTTCGGTCGGATTCTAGCGGTGGTGGCCAGAATCTAGCACTGCAGGTGGTCGGGGTGTTTTTGTCATTTTACAAAAAATTTATATATTGGGATGTTTAGTTAATTAGCAAACTTATGGGGTTTTTTAGAAATTTTTAAATTTTACCTCGTAATACTCCCCTATTAAAATACCCAATATTATTCTCAAAATTCTATTTAAAATAATAAAACAAACGGACCCAAAGTTTACGTTTTAAATATGAGGTGGTAAAAATATTTATAACTAATAGGAAATTGAAGTTATAAGGGAATAATTCAATATATAAATAAATTTGCGATGATAAAAATTATTTAAAAATGAGATTTCTTGAGTTTATTAATGAAGTGGCATTACATCCGCCCTCCAGTTATAAAAATCAATTAAAAAAGATTGCATCAATTGTCCACAACCGTTCGTAAAGTCAGCCAAACCATTCCCTCCACTACCACCACCAAATCTAAACCGAGAACAAAAGCATTGTCCACTGTAGCCCCTTTTATTCTAACCATTACCATTATGTTTTTACTGGTGAAGGTGGTGGAAACTCATTTGGTGATTGTGAAGGTGGTGCTCTTGATGATGATGAGGAGGAGGAGGAGGAGGATTATACTCCACTCCATTGATGCATTCTGAAGTTTTTGCCATCTCATGAGGCCATACTCTAGACGGGTTTCTTGTTAGCTCCAGCAATGAATCCCTCAGATGATCAGCTTGAACCATCTCGTTATCCATTTTCTGCCATCAAGAAGTTCATAATAATTAGAACAATTAAAATAAAAAGAGTAGTTTTAATTTTGCTATCTAAAAACGTGTTCATAATTTTACCTTCACTTTGAAAACATTTGAAACAAGTCCCCTAAAACGGGTTATATTCGCATTTGTCACTTCCAGACCCAATGAATTCAAAGCTTCCATCAATTTTACAAATCCAGCAGGCTTGTATTCGCAAAACACTTTAACAAAGAACTCGTTACCATCTAATGGAGCCACTTCAACTTGCACCTTCAAATGTACTTTTGTTCTATACATTAAAATTAACATATTGAAAGTCTAATTTAAAAGAGGAAGAAGATATTATATTTAGATTTTATAGTACGTTACCTCCATTTGTTGTGTCTTGTCATTAGTGATTTCTAGGTCTTGATTCTGAACTTTAGGAAGAGTACTGCTATTACCTGAAGCAGTTGCACCCAAATGAAACCCACCACTTTGACTGAAAATTTCTGGCTTCACGATGTTCTGGTTAACATTCATGCTTGTATTATTGTTCTTGGCGCTCCCTTCATCATCTGAATTCTCCTCCAGTTCATCTTGAAGCTCTTTTATTTCCTTTAGCAAATCCTTTATAAAGTCTATTGCGTCACCAAGGATTGAAGCTTTATCCATCTGAAAACATCAAACATCAAACGTCAAATCATTCTATAATACTGATATAATTTATTGTTAGAAGATAAAAGATCAAATTAAAAGGAAGAATGGTTTACTTTTGAAATTTTCGGAACCAAAGCTCGAAGAGCATAAAGCCTGTCATTAAGTTTCTTCCTTCTTTTCCTCTCAGCTACAAGGTTTTTAGCTTGAGGTCCCTTCCCAGTTCTCCTCCGATACTTGGCATCATCCTCATCATCAATCTGGTCACTGCAATCCGAGATTGAATCTGACCGTCCATTTTCATGCACATTATTAACTGGTGATGAGAAATTAGCATCCATGTTGCTTGTAGTAACCATTGCAGCTTCCTGCCCCATTGATATGCTGCATTGCGTTGTGATAAAATCAATCACATGTGGATCTTCAGGTACCTGAAAATATCATGCATCGGCGGTAGCACATACAACTGTCTAGTTAGGTTTCTCAAATTAATCTTATATGTTAGACAAAAAGAATAAGTAGAGAGGTCAGTGTATACTTCTTTAGTTGCTAACAGCTCAACCAATCCTCCCACCACTGGTATCAAGACCCTAGTCCAAACTGTTTCCTGAAAATTATCGCAAGGAAAGTAATGTTAGATCAATTTTTAAAGCGGGGAAATGTGCAACGGATGCACATAAATTATGTGTTATATCAATAAGTATGAATGTTTTTAATAGGATATTAATATTTTCAAAATTAAAGGAAATTTATATACCTTCATAAGATCTCCATGTGAGCTACTAGAGAAGTTTATCCAACTTGGATGGTTTGAAATCAAGGTCTGTGCATGATTAATCCTGAATAATTATGAGATCAAATAGCTAGTTATATAATTGAATATATATATATATAATTAAGAACAGTTGATGAATAAATATAAAAATATTTACCCGGAGTCTAGGGGAATAGAAGAAGGAAGCTGAGAAAGAAGTTCACAAGATTCAGTTCTTGGATGCTGAATTATAACATCCCTACAAGGAAGAACCGGAGAAACTGGAAAATGAAGCTCTTCTCCGCCATTAATGTTGGTCATCTCAATTCCAGCACAACAACAATCTATCCACTCAATAAATCTAAGTGAAAAGATATTAATATTAATAACGTAATGCATAAATATAAATATAAATTAATATGCTGATTATAAACCATTTCATCAGGAAACTAATTAAATTCATAGCTTCTAAAATCGAAACAAAATATATTTTATGCAATCTGAAGGGAATTAGGTAATCAGAGCAACAATTAAAACAAAGTCTAGGTTATTTTCAAGGACCCAAAAAAAAAAAAAAAAAAAAAAAAAAAAAAAAAAAAAAAAAAAAAAAGAGGCAGGTTGCACATGCACATCATTTCATTAAATTTAAAATTTAACATTTGAATCACTGACCTTGTAGAGACAAAACATTATCAACGTTTGAATCATGTTAATTAGTCGTAAGGCAACAAGAGGTAGGAGTTTGAATTCTAAAAGAGCTCTTATATCCCACATTGATTTGAAAAAAAAAAAAAAATCAACTAGCCTTTGATCATCGTTGAGCTTCCAAAAACAGCGTAATTCCCCCCTTCCAATCCTACCAGCTGCCTCAATGATTCCATTAGATTTTGGATTACGAATTAAGCAAATGGTGTTTATATAAATGTAGGTAAGGTTGAGTACTGCTTGCATGAGAAAGAAGAGAGAAGGTTGAGTTTAACCTTGAGAAAGAAGAGTTTATATATAATTACGAGGAGCAAAATGCATGACTTAACTACCTTTTAAAGTTAATCACCATTGAAAGATTTTTGATGAATTTAATTAATAATTGTTATAAGGACTTTAATTTTTTGGATTACCGGTTTTAGGAGAAGTAAAAAGTATTATGTTTTATTTATTTATTTTTTTCTAACTATTCTCATTATTTTGATTTCTTGGGATTTTTTTTTTTTTTTTTTTTTTTTTTTTTTTTTGTGAGGAAAAATACAAAGCAAGTTTGTCGTCAATCTTTTAATTTATATTTGTAATAATTATAACTTTTTTTTTTTTTTTGAAAATTCTGTTTTGAAATGTTTTTATCAAACATTTTTTTTGTTATTTAAATTAAATTATTTTTTAAGCACAACAAATCAAATTATACCTTAATTTGCGATATCTAACATATTTTGCCTTGGAACATCTAACCATTTTAATTAAAAGCAATATAAGTCCTACAAATCACACAAAATCTATTGTGATATATTAGATTAAAGAACTCATAATTTTTTTTTATCCATATATTTCTATTATCTCTCAAAATAAAAACTTCATTTCAAATCAAAATTTTTAGTACAAATTACAAATTGAAATCAACCATTGACATATTTTAGACAATTATTCAAGATGAACAAAATAAGTGATAATTTAAGGGTTTTATCAGTTGTGGGGTAATAAATTTTGTATTTTGTATTTTTTTTTATTTATTTGTATTTCATAAACATGGTGAACAATTTTTTATTTTGATTTTGCTATGAACAAGTACATCTTTAGATATATGTGAAACAAGTTTTCATTTTTCTCATTTTCCAATCATTTTAATATTTAAAATATATATTATATATATATATATTAATATATATATAATATAATATATATAATTAATATATATAATACATAAAAGATAACAAACATAGTATTCATTCATCGATTTATTAAATGTTTTCTTTTAATTGTTAGAAATATTTATTTGTTGGATTTTCTGGGTTTAAGAATAAGATGAACCAATTGGGTTATGAAAGCCTTTAAATACCACATTTACGATTTGATATATAATTGTCATATTTAATATCAACTGATGAAGCCATTTATTTCTTCAAAACTCCTACTTGACCGTTGGAATACATGGAAGTCACTCAACAAGTTGAAATTAATCCATCTCACTTTCATCTCCATGACTATATCATTCACAAGGGATGATATGTCTACCTTAGCATATTGCATGAGAAAGGAGAGTTGCAGTTGATATTCTCAAGACCATAGGCCTTCCTATATCTTCCAAAACGCAGGCGATTTGAGGAGTTAGGGGGGCAGGGTATATTGATGACGGATATGTTAATGGTGATCTCTCTGTCACTCGAGCGCTGGGAGACTGGAACTTGAAACTCCCACTTGGGTCTGCCTCACCTCTCATTGCTGACCCAGATGTTCAACAAGTTGTGTTAACTGAGGACGATGAATTCCTAATCATTGGGTGTGATGGTATCTGGGATGTGATGTCAGTCATATGCAGTTAGCCTTGTCATGATGACCCAAAGCAGTGTGCTCAAGAACTAGTGATGGAAGCGACACGCCTACATTCATTCTGATAATCTCACTGTGATTGTTATCTGCTTTAATTCCCCTCCTCGTGCTGAGTCATGTCCTCCTCAGCGGCGTAGGTTCAGGTGCTCAAGTTTATCTGAGGAGGCGCGAAGTAGACTTAAGAGCCTGTTAGAAGGCAATTGATCGAGTATACCAACTATTTCATACACTATTTACCGATAAAAGTTGAGAAGTGATTGTTATCTGTTTAAAGGCTGTTTCAGATGGTTCATTTTAAAAAAAAAAAAAAAAAAGCAGCCCGCAATTTTGCAGATGTAGAAGAGAGAACGCTAGGCTTGTGGAATTTTTCTTATATCAATGAATTTGGGTCTCTGCAATAACCCACCCATATTTGTTTCCTTACACGATCGCAAATATGCTTTAATGAAAGTCTATATGAACTATTCTTATCTTGATATTGTAACAACGTACTCTTCTGTTTGCATGTTTAGTTTAGTGAACTAGTCAAATGCAAGAGTGTCATTAGTAGCCAATTATCTCAATTGATTGTAGGGTTGGCAATTCCTGGAACGGGATCGGGCTTTGCAGGCTTTTACCTTCCCTGTCCCTACTAAGGGGTGTATACGAGCCGAACCGATTATCTAGCTACTTGAGCTAGACTCGGCTCGGCTGCTATAGTACCTGTCTGAGTTTTTTTTTGTCTTCCTATGACCCTATCCCTAATAGGGGCGTTGAGTATCTAGCTACTTGAGCAAGGCAATTCCAAATTTAATGATCACATTTCAAGGAGATAGTTATAACAATTTGGTACTTTATATTTCTATTTTTTTTTAAAAGAAAAAAATAAATTGGAACCTTAGCAGGAAAGGCCTTCTATGTACCACCAATTCTAGGCAAACACACACAAAGAAAGGATGATGGTAAGTTATTTTATTTAAAACAAAACAAAAATCTTAGGGTATGTTTGGTTTATTATTTTGGATAGAATTTTGAGAATAATATTGGATAGTTGAATAGGGGAGTATTACGAGGTAAAATTTAAAAATTTCTAAAAAAAAAAAACCATAGGTTTGCTAATTTAACTAAATACCCCAATATATAAAAATTTTATAAAATGACAAAAACACCCCCATCACTCGCAGTGCTAGATTCCAGCCACCACCGCCGAAATCTGGCCGAAAAATTGCGTTACGACACAGACCGATCGAATTTGTGTCGTAGCGCGTCGATATGGCATTTTTCCGCCCGATCCACCATGAATCTAGCCGGAAAAGGCCAGATCTACAGCTAGATGTGCTCATCGACGGCCGTAAAAGTCCATCTTTGGTAGTGGTGTAGGCCGTTGTGACAGATTCCGACTACCACCGACGATGATTGCTGGAATCTGGCAAGTATTGGTGGGTGGGGGTGTTTTTGTTAATTTTTAAACTTTTTTCTGGGGGTATTTAAAGAATTAATAAACTTAAGGGGTCTAAATAGTTAAAAATATGCTAATATTTCTCAAATAATGTGCCAAACAATATTTGGGGAATAAGATTGAGAATATGGGTAGAAATATTGAACCAAACGCCCCCTAAATATTTTGAAAAAACATTTTCCCAAAATGTATAAAAAACATTAAAAGGCGTCCTACCATATTTTCCAAAAATCTTATTCAAAATTTTAAAAATATTGAGATTTAAATCATTTTAATGCATAAAATATATATATATATATATATTTTTTTTAAATAAATCAAAACTTTTTAATTTTAGTTTTAAATGTACACATGAATACACGCGTCAAGTTTAACCAAGAAGGCAAGAATAACTGAGTCTGTGACTGTATGTTTACCAGTCGAACATTTTCATTTTGCCTCTAAGGTCGAAACTTTTTTTTCTCTCAGATTATTCAAAATTCTCTTGTGATTTTGCGATGGAAGTCTCTTCGTTTTCTGCCTACCCAACAACTTATCTGTGTTCTTCTTCAACAGGTTTCCGTCATAACTTATTCAATCAGTTTTAATTTCAATACACTTTGGAAAGTTGAATCAATCTTTAATGATGTGTAGATGTTATTCGCTTATTTTCATAATTACTTGTATTCTGTATTGCTCTGCTTTAGTAAAATTGTTTGTTAATGCAGAGTTATTTCTGCGAAAAAGGGTTAAACTTCCTTTATGGAATCATTTTTCTGTGCCCATTTCATGGAGCAAAAGAACTGCACAACCTCTGTCAAGTAAAACCGGACGTGTGGTTCATAATAGAAACTCTTTCAAGGTTGGATTTCATTGACACTGTTGAAAATTTGAAATTTTTATATCCTTGTCTCATTTTTATTTTGATTAAATTTGTGCCTTCTTTTCAGGTTTTGTGCAGTCAAGAGAGAGAAATTCCTATTTTAGAGGCCAGGTATGGTATGCAAAGCATCTTTCAACTGAATTTCGAGTGATTGTGCAAGTTATGAGCATCGTATTGGTTGCTGCAATGTAGGCCAAAGTTGGTAGTGAGACATGATCTTGGAGATTATAAAGTCGCCTGGGTGTTTTTTCTAAATAGTGGAGATATTGGTAGATTAAGAATTGGAAAATCTTGAAATGGCAAGCCCTTACTGCTCTGGCTTTCATGTTTTAATCCACAGAAAGAGAATTGGTTAACTTGAAATCAACCTAGAGCTATGACCTTTACATTTGAACTAATTTCATACTATTCGGAAGAAAGATATGTCATAGTTAAAGATTCTCAGTAATTTAGATTTAAGTTAGCTGACAATGAAAAATTCAGAACCTCCAAGCTCTCACTTTTTGGGGCATATTTGCTAGAATTAACAGATTTGCTTTTTTCTTTTTTTGGTGAACGGGGGTGTCTAGGCCAACTTTCGCGCACTTAAACTAATCTCCTGGGGTCCTGAAGTTGACGACCGGGTAAATCTCCAATGGCCACCCCTACTAGCAGTCGAGGTGGATTGAACTCAAGATCTCTTGAGTAATACACCCAAAAGTCTTAGTTGACCGCTTAGTCACCTAGTGGTGGTTAACAGATTTGCTTTCCTTGCGACAAGATATTGTTTTCATTTTTTTGTTTTCGGGTGATCCTGTTGCGTATAGTATTGAAGCAGCTTGTACTTTGTCCAAATGCTGATCAGACTATGTGTTATTCAGGTTCTGAATTGGGAGAACCATTTTCTTATAGATATATTTTGATGGTTAAGTGAGTTTCCACATGGCTAATTGTTCTGTGTCCCGGTAAGAAGCAGAAATAATGAGGACACATTCTATCATGTGGAGAGGAAATTATGGGCAATAAATGATCACTCAATTATTTTTTCCATGTGTGAATGGTTTACTCAAACTTTTGGTTTTTTAATTAGACTTCATTTGTTAGGAAAACTGAGTCTTAAGTATTTATGCTTCCCATCATTTTGCAATTTTGTATATGCCATTGCTATAGGGAGCGGTATTTGCTAAAATATGTAAAAGGCCTCTTTTTGGTTGATTTTACATCAACTAATTGGTTCTAGTTATCAACTGTTTATAGGCATGCACATATACTAGTATTTTTGTCAGTATCATCATATGGTGTTTAATTGTTTGTAGTTTGGCCCTTGTGTATTGTTTCATAACCTATGTATTTTTTATTTTTTATTTTAAATAAATGTCACTCTTTTTTCCTTTAAGGTGTATGGATGAGATATATGATGCTTTAGCTGAACGTCTTATTCCCACATCAGCAATTGCATCAAATCCGAATGCCAAGTAAGTTATCTTCTACTAGCAAGAAAATTCTATGAAGAAAGCTGTTTTGTCCTGACTACAACTTGATTCTCTCTCACTCTCTCTGACTCCTGATATAGTAATTCATTCATACATCTCTATATTTCTGTTTTTTATTCTACCGCTGGAAATCTGTTTTCATAAATAAACTTTAGCCTGAGCCACTTAGAACAATGCTATGCGAAGTTGAATTTTGCATCTATTCCAGGTACAAGACTTACTTATATTATCCAGTAAATCGTCTCACTCTGATTTATGTTAAAGAGGATTGGACAATCTGATTGGTGCGCTATCAAGTTAAAGGAAATTGCTTTTTATCCTATACGTGTAGAGCTAGAGTGCTCAATTGATCTTCTGAGCATGTTTGAAAAATTTATATATCAAATGGTTCTAGTATTTTATCTGAGTGTGGTCCCCAATTGTCCCCCTCCGTGTTGACATTTAGACTGCTGATGCAGGGACTGTACAAGAATAATATAGAATCTTGTTACACATTGTTCTGTTTATTTGAGATTTCCATGAAGAGTGTTTCTCAAACTCTTGATTTTTAATTGCCTGGTTTTTACCTATCACTTGGCAAATGAAGTTGTGTAGCTGAATAACCTTTCAGGTATATTGTGGGTTTGGCTGGCCCTCCTGGTGCTGGAAAGAGCACTCTAGCATCTGAAGTAGTGCGACGTATAAACAAGATATGGCCTCAAAAAGCTTCTTCATTTGATTCTCAGGTTAAGCCTGCTGATGTTGCTATAGTTATTCCTATGGATGGATTCCATCTATATCGTTCTCAGCTGGATGCAATGGAGGTAAGGCTTCCTCTATGTTTTCTTTATTTAAATCTTCATCACCTTACAACATTTGATTCTAACTAATGTCCCTGAATTTTAGAATCCAAAGGAGGCTCATGCAAGAAGAGGAGGTGAGGTTTCTATATTTGCAATATACTAATTTAAAGCGTTATGAATACTAATAGTTTTGATGCTTCCCTTCATGAATCAGCTCCGTGGACTTTTGATCCATTGCTACTGCTTAATTGTCTGAAGAATTTAAAGAATCAGGTTAGTATTGATCAGGATTGTACACTTAGCAATGATTGAGTGCTTTGAATGTGTTTAGAGAATCCAAACGTATGAATGAATTTCTTTGATGTGGCTAGAAAATACAATAATTTTAGCCATGTGACTGAATTTTGATAATTTAAGTTTCTCAGGGATCAGTTTATGCGCCATCATTTGACCATGGTGTTGGAGATCCAGTTGAAGATAATATTTTTGTGAGCCTCCAGTAAGTAATTAGTCATCAACTAATAACTTTGCTTGAAATTATTTTGGTTATAAACACTTTTTTTAAGTTGATGGGATACTGGTGGTGACTGTTGATTCTTCATAGATGTTTTTGGAGCACATACACTGGTTTCAGTGTGTAGCATGAGGTCCTCGTCTGATGCAGAAACCTTCTTGGAATTGAATGATTATAATTCTATTGCGTGGAATAGTAAATTGATGTTCAACAAGCCAAAGAAAGATCTGTAACCTTTCTACGATCAGCTTATTTGTGTCACTTATTGAGATAACAGTATTCTGGAAACTGGAGTTTGTTCTGATAAGGGCAAATGCTATCTATCTTGACAAGTTTGATCTTAAAACATTTTGACATATTAAGTGATACTGCTAAGAGAAGTAAATGGAAACCAATGGTAAAAAAATTGAACATATCCGGAGAATGTGAAATTTGGGCAAAGGTTTAATTTCATGGTTATCTCTGTGATCAGTTGACGGTGAATTAATGCAATTCTTTTTCTTCCTTTTTGCAGGCATAAAGTGATTATAGTAGAAGGAAATTATCTGTTTCTAGAAGAAGGAGATTGGAAGGATATATCATCTATGTTTGATGAGAAATGGTAAGGATTTATTTGTTCCCATGCCATTGCTGTCTTATTTTACCAATATTCAGGTCAGAAAATTCGAAGATGTGATTGTTTGTTAACTTACGCAGTTGTAGAAGGTCATATAGTTCTTTAACATAGTGTATGCATAGCCAAAACCAACCTTGCAGTGGATATTACATTTATCTGGTACAACTGGCTCATAATGTGAAAATGCTTTGAAGGTACTCCTTCAAGGAAATTTGTTCGCCTCCTGTTTTATTTTAAAATGTTATGGCTAAGTTTCAATAATTTTTTTCATTGTTAATACAAGGGAATTATTCACAGAATTTCAAGCTTATTCCCCTTGTGAAGAGCTTAATCCTTTCATTTTCTGAGCACTGTTTTAGAGATTCAAAAGGTATCAGTTCCTACCTAGAAACATCTAAGACTTGCACAGATAAGTAGGATCTTATGATATTTTTAGTGTTGGACATATTAATATGTGCTCCACTTTTCCATTAGCTTTTTTCTGCGAAATAAAATCAGATGTCAAGAAACAATGAATTGCCTTTTCACTTTTGGAAACTTGAATACTGAGTTTTCTGGGGAAACAGCTGAGTAATCTGTGTTGGTGTTTCTTATTCATTCAAGGTTCATTGATGTTGATCTTGACATGGCTATGCAACGGGTTATAAAGAGACATATTTCAACAGGTATGGCGCTCCCTTTTTTTTTTTTTTTTCTTTTTCCATCCTCTCTAAAACGAGAAATAAATAGAAGTGAGTGTTAAAAAATTTTACCTTCCCATTACAGGGAAGCCCCCGGATGTTGCTAAATGGCGTGTAAGCTTTTAATATGTTGCAAGTTGGTTATTAACTCTTGTGCTAGTTAAATATATCTAATACTTGATTCATTTTGCAGATAGAGTATAATGATCGACCCAATGCGGAGCTTATTATGAAGTCAAAGAAAAATGCAGATTTGGTAATCAAGTCTATTGAATTATAATGAATTCACCAGTTGCACTAGAGGAGAAAGAGGTCAGATGAATCTGTTTGGCATAAAGTTTCTGCAGAACTGAGGCAAATGATAAAGAGATGAATGCCGGCTTCTTCTTTTCTCAATTTTACCATCCATATTGAATTCAACAATTTGAGGATTGACACATTTCATGGTTCATCTTTGCAACAGAAGATGGGTTCATGTTTTTGTACATTTACAATATGCACTGTTAGTAAGACTTGACCCCTCCAATGTGTAAAATATATATAGTATCAATAATAGTAGACATATTGTTGTTAGGGTAAGAATTAGAAGTTAGAACATGAAGAAAGAATATATAAAATAAGAATAAGAATGTACAATGTGAATCCATATATATAAACCATTTATTCCTATTGATAAGTAATATAGAACCTTCCTTTAGAAAGATGTAAGGTTTGATGATTTCCTTGATTAAGAAACTTAATTTTAAGATTAACCCATATATATATATATATAAGAGAGAGAGAGAGAGAGATAAATAATAATATTGCAATATAGTGTCTAATGAAGAGAACCAGCCAGTTGAGTGAGTTAAGAATTGAATGGGGATGTGATTAATTGAGTGATGAAGTGGTTTGATAGAGACTTTAAAGTGTATTATACAAAGGGTTCAGAGTTCGAGTCCCTTTTTGGATGTTAATATTGATAACCATTAGAACTCTTATTCAATTAGTAGTTTCAGGGTTTCGGAGGACTATTTGTGATGCGCGTAAATTGGTCTGAACACCCTCAATTATTATAAAAAAAAAATAATAATTGTATCCTCATCCATTACACAAAATACTTTTCTCTTTAAGAAGAGACTGAGAAAAAGGACAAAACGACAGCACTTTAACCACGAAAACAACATAAACCTGGGATTCTAAAGTGGGTGTTAGCAAAGTGAGAGACAAGTAGAAGACAGTAAGTTAATGAATATAAATGCTTAAATAGTTAACTCTCTCTTTCTTGCCACTTATACTTACATTATAAATTCCTTCTCTCTCCATATATATCATTTGTTGGTAATCAAGACATTCGGATCATTAATTGATTTGTTTCACGTTAATCTTCTCTGTAAATTAAGCAACATTATTGGATCTTTCTCCCAAAATTCTTCTTTCTTTACATCTTTAAATATTGCAAAATTTTCCATTATCGGAAAATGCATCAGTTTCAGCAATGCCAGATCCAAGATATGTGTGTACAATTATGTGTTATAAAAATTGATTTCTGTAAACCCCATGGGTCTAGTTGACCGCTTCAGTCACTCAGTGGTGGTTAACAGATTTGCTTTCCTTGCGCCAAGAAATTGTTTTCATTTTTTTTTGTTTTCGGTGATCCTGTTGCTATAGTATTGAAGCAGCTTGTACTTTGTCCAATGCTGATCAGACTATGTGTTATTCAGGTTCTGAATTGGGAGAACCATTTTCTTATAGATATATTTTGATGGTTGTGAGTTTCCACATGGCTATTGTTCTGTGTCCCGGTAAGAAGCAAAATAATAGACACATTCTACATGTGAGAGAAATTATGAATAAATGATCACTCAATTATTTTTTCCATGGTGAATGGTTTACTCAAACTTTGGTTTTTTAATTAGACTTCATTTGTTAGGAAAACTGAGTCTTAAGTATTTATGCTTCCCATCATTTTGCAATTTTGTATATGCCATTGCTTAGGGAGCGGTATTTGCTAAAATATGTAAAGGCCTCTTTTTGGTTGATTTTACATCAACTAATTGGTTCTAGTTATCAACTGTTTATAGGCATGCACATATACTGTATTTTTGTCAGTATCATCATATGGTGTTTAATTTTTTGTAGTTTGGCCCTTGTGTATTGTTTCATAACCTATGTATTTTTTATTTTTTATTTTAAATAAATGTCACTCTTTTTCCTTTAAGGTTTATGGATGAGATATATGATGCTTTAGCTGAACGTCTTATTCCCACACAGCAATTGCATCAAATCCGAATGCCAATAAGTTATCTTCTACTAGCAAGAAAATTCTATAAAGAAAGCTGTTTTGTCCTGACTACAACTTTTTCTCTCACTCTCTCTGACTCCTGATATAGAATTCATTCATACATCTCTATATTTCTGTTTTTATTCTACCGCTGGAAATCTGTTTTCATAAATAAACTTTAGCCTAGCCACTTAGAACAATGCTATGCGAAGTTGAATTTTGCATCTATTCCAGGTACAAGACTTACTTATATATCCAGTAAATCGTCTCACTCTGATTATGTAAGAGGATTGGACAATCGATTGGTGCGCTATCAAGTTAAGGAAATTCTTTTTATCCTATAGTAGAGAGCTAGAGTGCTCAATTGATCTTCTGAGCATGTTTGAAAAATTTATATATCAAATGTTCTAGTATTTTATCTGAGTGTGGTCCCCAATTGTCCCCCTCCGTGTTGACATTTAGACTGCTGATGCAGGGACTGTACAAGAATAATATAGAATCTTGTTACATTGTTCTGTTTATTTGAGATTTCCATGAAGAGTGTTTCTCAAACTCTTGATTTTTATTGCCTGGTTTTTACCTATCACTTGGCAAGAAGTTGTGTAGCTGAATAACCTTTCAGGTATATTGTGGTTTGGCTGCGCCCTCCTGGTGCTGGAAAACACTCTAGCATCTGAAGTAGTGCGACGTATAACAAGATATGGCCTCAAAAAGCTTCTTCTTTGATTCTCAGGTTAAGCCTCCTGATGTTGCTATAGTTATTCCTATGGATTCCTCTATATCGTTCTCAGCTGGATGCATGGAGGTAAGGCTTCCTCTATGTTTTCTTTATTTAAATCTTCATCACCTTACAACATTTGATTCTAACTAATGTCCCTGATTTTAGAATCCAAAGAGGCTCATGCAGAAGAGAGGTGAGGTTTCTATATTTGCAATATACTAATTTAAAGCGTTATGAATACTAATAGTTTTGATGCTTCCCTTCATGATCAGCTCCTGGACTTTTGATCCATTGCTACTCTGCTTAATTGTCTGAGAATTTAAAGAATCAGGTTAGTATTGATCGGATTGTACACTTAGCAATGATTGAGTGCTTTGAATGTGTTTAGAGAATCCAAACGTATGAATGAATTTCTTTGATGTGGCTAGAAAATACAATAATTTTAGCCATGTGACTGATTTTGATAATTTAGTTTCTCAGGGTCATTTTTGCGCCATCATTTGACCATGGTGTTGGAGATCCATTGAAGATAATATTTTGTTGAGCCTCCAGTAAGTAATTATCATCAACTAATAACTTTGCTTGAAATTATTTTGTTTAAACACTTTTTTAAGTGATGGGATACTGGTGGTGACTGTTGATTCTTCATAGATTTTTTTTGGAGCACATACATGGTTTCAGTGTGTAGCATGAGGTCCTCGTCTGATGCAGAAACCTTCTTGGAATTGAATATTATATTCTATTGCGTTGGAATAGTAAATTGATGTTCAACAAGCCAAAGAAAGATCTGTAACCTTTCAAGATCAGCTTATTTGTGTCCTTATTGAGATAACAGTATTCTGGAAAGGAGTTTGTTCTGATAAGGGCAAATGCTATCTATCTTGACAAGTTTTGAAAAAAAAAAAAAAAAAAAAGCAGCCCGCAATTTTGCAGATGTAGAATAGAGAACGCTAGGCTCGTGGAATTTTTCTTATTTCAATGAATTTGGGTCTCTGCAATAACCCACCCATTTTTGTTTCCTTACACGATCGCAAATATGCTTTAATGAAAGTCTATATGAACTATACTTATCTTGATATTGTAACAACATACTCTTCTGTTTGCATGTGTAATTTAGTGAACCAGTCAAATGCAAAAGTGTCATTGGTAACCAATTATCTCAATTGATTGTAGGGTTGGCAATTCCTGGAACGGGATCGGGCTTTGCAGGTTTTTACCTTCCCTGTCCCTAATAGGGGTGTATATGAGCTGAGCCGATTATCTAGCTACTCGAGCTCAGCTCGGCTCGGCTGCTATAGTACCTGTCCGAGTTTTTTTTTTATCTTCCTATCCCTAATAGGGGTGTTGAGTATCTAGCTACTTCAGCAAGGCAATTCCAAATATAACGATCACATTTCAAGGAGATAGTTATAACAATCTGTTACTTTATTATTTCTAATTTTTTTAAGAAGAAAAAAATAAATTGGAACCTTAGCAGGAAAGGCCTTCTATGTACCACCAATTCTAGGCAAACACACACAAAGAAAGGATGATGGTAAGGTATTTTATTTAAAACAAAACAAAAATCTTAGGGTGTATTTGGTTTATTATTTTGGATAGGATTTTGGGAATAATATTGGATAGTTAAATAGGGGAGTATTACAAGGTAAAATTTAAAATTTTTTAAAAAAACCTCCCGGTTTGCTAATTTAACTAAATACCCCAATATATAAAAATTTTATAAAATGACAAAAATACCCCTAGCACCTGTAGTGCCAGATTCCAGCCACCACCGCCGGAATCTGGCTAGAAAATTGCGTTACGACACAAATCAATCGGATCTGTGTCGTAACAAGTCGATATGGCCTTTTTCGACGCGATCCACCACGGATCTGGCCGGAAAAGGCCAGATCTACAACTAGATGTGGCCATCAACGACCTAAATCTACCGTAGATCTGGCCAGAAAAGGCCAGATCAGTGAATTACCAACCAGTTCTGGTAGTGGTGTAGGTCGTTGTGACAGATTCTGGCTACCACCGACGATGGTTGCTAGAATCTAGCGAATATGGGTAGATGGGGGTGTTTTTGCTAATTTTTAAACTTTTATTTATGGATATTTAATGAAATTAATAAACTTATGGGGTCTAAAAATAATTAAAAAAATATGCTAATATTTCTTAAATAATGTGCTAAACAATATTTGGGAAATAGGATTGAGAATATGACTAGAAATATTGAACCAAATCGCACCCTAAATATTTTGAAAAAACATTTTCCAAAAATGTATAAAAAACATTAAAAAGGAGTCCTACCATATTTTCAATCATATTAATGCATAAAATATATGTTTTTTTTTTAAATAAATCAAAACTTTTTAATTTTAGTTTTAAATGTACACATGAATACACGTGTCAAGTTTAACCAAGAAGGCAAGAGTAACCGAGTCTGTGACTGTATGTTTACCAGTCGAACATTTTCATTTTGCCTCTAAGATCGAAACTTTTTTTTTTTCTCAGATTATTCAAAATTCTCTTGTGATTTTTCGATGGAAGTCTCTTCGTTTTCTGCCTACCCAACAACTTATCTGTGTTCTTCTTCAACAGGTTTCCGTCATAACTTATTCAATCAGTTTCAATTTCAGTACACTTTGGAAAATTGAATCAATCTTTAATGATGTGTAGATGTTATTCGCTTATT